CTTCTTGCAGCATCGGCTCTTACCGGCAGCACCATTCTGATGCTTGGCGTCGACTGTGAGTCGCCTGACTGCGCAGTCGTTGCCACCATGTTGGGCTGCTGCTCACATCGTGCTTCTTTGCTTCTTCTGCGCCCTCCTCTCCAGGCTACACGACAGCTGGCCTGAAAGAATTCTACGCTCGCAACCTGCTTGGTGATCAGCTGTTCGCCGATCGCCACAGGCCAACATTTGAGCACGGTCAGTTTCCGTTGCCTCAAGCCGTCCAGGTCAGTCTAGGATGCTGCACCCATCTTCTATCAGTGCGCAACAGAAAAGCTGATCAGCCACCGCCCTTGACGCTGTCGCGCAGATCGAGCTCGGCGTCATCGGCGGCTGTACCTTGATGAGCTTGGCCTTGCAGTCCAAGATGTTTGCCGAGCTTCGAGCTAATCTGCGTGCCCTCAAGTCTGACGATGAAGATCGACGAATCAATGCTCAAGCGAGACGTGCCTCGCAGCACATCTTTCGCAATGCGCAGAGAGACCTCGTAGAATGGGAAAGAAGGCACGGATATCGCACGGACGATCCTGAGCTGGGAAGTCAAGGGACTCCCACTGAAGAGAAGGCTTCCGACAATCGGTCCCATTTCACACATGGCAGCTTCACCCGAAACAACTCGGGCCAATCGCTTTCCCCGATTCCGGAAATTGGAGATGAATCCGTCCAGCGCAGTATCTTCTACGGCGCTACTGCGCCCGCTAGGAGCAACTCACACGTCAGTTTTGCTGACAGTGTTAAGGGCCTGAGCCGCAACGAAAACATTGGCAGGTCAGACACTATGTATGCGAGCAATGGCGTTCGCTTTCCAACTGCTGTAGCGGCAGCCAATCCCACCCGCGGCGATCCTCCTCCAGCAAGAAGTGCTGATCTTCAAGAGCGGCAACGACTACTCGACGAGATTGCCAACATTCGCCAGAGTATTTCCTCATTGCACAGTACTTTGCCAGCTGGAAACCCTCTAAGCGCACCTCAAGAGACGCTGAGCGCTACAGGCAGCTCCCATGCCCCCCTTCGAGGCGACGGTGGGCGACGGAGTGTCAACTTTGCACCTGGTACGACATCCAGCAAGCCCGCGCCTTGGACTACTGATGACCGCACCAAGCGGTCGAGGGTGGTTTCGGCCCCGATGTTACCTAGCCTGCTCTCTCTGTCGCAGGACGAGCTGAGCCAAGGCTTCAG